GCAAGGCAGGTGCTGTGCCACTGAGCTATATCCCAGTCCTGCCTTTTCATTTGTGTTGTGTTGTGTTGTGTTTTGGGTACCAGGGATTGAACTCACGATTGTGTGCTTGCAAGGCAGGCGCTTATGCTACTGAGCTAAATCCCAGACCATGCCTTTTCATTCTTAATAGCGTTCTTTGATTCCATCAAGTGAGACAAAGTACCTGTTATACTCACGGTTTGCAAGAAGAACAAGACAATATAGGACACATAATTTTTAGTATTATTTTATAATGGTTATCCAAAGAGTCAAATACAAAATAAAGAGTGTGGGAAATCTGTTCACACCCTAAGACCCAAACAATCCAGCTGAGGGCCTGGATCCCATGGCAACATCCTTGCATGAGTGCAGCTGAAGACTTGAGCCCATGAAAGTGTCCCCTATGAGTCCAGCTGGAGGCCAGGAGCCCATGACAATATTTCATGCAAGTCTCTTTTACGAATCTGTGGTGAGAAGGCCTAAAGGTCAGTTGGATGAAGCATCTGTGCCAGTAGGTTAAGGATTCTGCACTGCAGCCAGGAAGCAACACACAAAAATCAGGGCTCCCCTGAAAAATAACACAGCCATCCTCATCAGTGACAGTGAGGTCCTGAGCTCCTCCGACAGTGAGAACAGCCAAGTTCATATCAGGAAGCCTGCTTGACAAGCTTCTTCTGGAGACTGAACACCATCTTTTCCTCTGGAGTCAGGAAGCAGTAAGGACTAGATCTCTCCCAAAGTGAACTGCAGCTATTCTCAGTGACAACAATGTTCTGAGCTCCTCTGACAATGAGAACAGCCAAGTTCATATCGGGAAAGAATCTCCACAAGCTCCTCCAGGAGAACCAAGGGCAACAAGAGAACCAACAACACTACCTCTTCTTTTCTAGTTCTTTTTATCTTGGCAACAATCCTCCTATAGGCCATCCACACTCAACACCCTGCTGATTCAGTTCAGCTGGTATTACAAGCTGACCAGCAGTTATCAATCCACCACAATACCCAAAATAAACAACTTAAAGGAAGAAAGATTTGACTACAATATCAGAGGTTTCTCTCTCAGCTGGCCCTGTAGCTTTTAGGCCTGAGACAAGGTAGAGACTTTGTGGCAGAAAGCACAGTGGAGGGGCCGGAGATTTAGCTCAGTGGCGTAAATGCCTGCTTGGCAAGCGCAAGGCCATGAGTTCAGTCCCTGGTACCGAACAAAACAAAGCAAAAGAAAGCACAGTGGAGAAAAGCTGCTAGTCTTTTGGCAGCTAGGAAGCAGAGAGATAATTTTTCATTTTTTTATTTTTATTAGTACATGTTTGCCGCACATAATAATTACATTTATCATGGGGAGTTTCTAAATATATGCAATACCATCTTGACTTTTTTTTTTTTTTTTTTTTACTTTCTCCAAGTCTTTCACAGTAATGTCCCCGGTTACCTCCTTTCTCCAATTAGGTCCAGCCTCCCCATAGGGCATTCAGTTACAAATATATCAATGGATTAATCCACTGATGAAGTTGGAGTCCCCATGATCTATTCACATTTTCAGAAGTCTCACCCTGAACACATTAGATCAAACCGTGTGTATCAGTTTTTTGGTGGCGGTGTTTTGTTGTTACAGCCATTCAAGAAAGAGTTTGATAGCTTTCACTCCTTTTTCTTCAGTGCTAGGAATTGAAAGTAGGGCCTTATGCATCTAAGCATATACTATACCACTGAGCCGCATCACTAGATGTGAGGTAGGGGTGTGTGTGTGTGTGTGTGTGTGTGTGTGTGTGTGGGTGGGTGGTATTGGGGAGTGAGCCAGTACCTTCGCACTGAGCACTTCTCCAGCTCTTTTTTTCTCCCCTTATTTTTGAGGCAAGGTCTCAAAAATTGCCCAGATGGGGCCTGCATTTGTGATCCTTCTTCCTCAGCCTTCCAGCGTGCTGGGATTACTGGTATATGCAACTATGCTGGTCTCTAATTGCAATTTTTTGTTGGTAATATTTTCACATTTGCAAGTATTCTTTTGAAATTATCCAGAAATTATTCATTAAAACATTTCTTGCCATCTTAATTTGCTTTCTATTTTATAAAATGGAAATAATAAGCATTCAAACCAGCATACCTCAGACAGGGGTTACAAGTAGAATGTATTTATTGAGAGAAAGCTTCTCTTTGAGAGAGACAGAAGGGCTCCCAAGTGGGTTGCCACGGACCCTGGTTCTCTAGGGATTTTTATTGGGCAGAACCACAAGGTGAAGCAGGTCCAAGCTGAGGAGAAATGGAAACTGGCAAGGTGGGCATGAGGTGGAACAGAAAATTGATTACATCAAGATCAGATGGAAAAGCCAGTCACAGGAGCAAGATGTCATGAAAACAGAATGGGGCCTTTGCCTAGGGGGCTTTGGGTTAGTGGCTCCTTCTGGCTTCCTCAAGGTGATGATACCTATTTAGAATATCATTCCCTAATGTTTATCCTTAGGATGTGGGTGCATTTGTTTTATCTCTTGTCTTGAGGTGTGGCCCTCAGCAGAGGTGTTTGTCTCTCCAACAGTTGTGAAGTGTATCTGGTCTTCCTCCCTGGCTCATTTGAAGGTCCAGCCTTATCTGATTGTCCATAATATTTCTAACTTAGTTGTCTGTAACATTAACTTTCTACAAACTATTTGTCTCAGAATTATGCAACCATTGATGTCTCTATTTAGTTTTATTATTTTAAAAATTCTTTCTTTCATTTTTAAGCATGGCTTCCTTGGGCACACTGCTGAATCTGCATAGCCTACAGTCACCTGAATTTTTTTTTTTTTTTTTTTGCGTTTCCTTTCATACTAAACCTGAATATCTTGAAAACAAATCTTTTTGATGAGGGAGGAGTGGGGATTGAGTTCAGGAACTTGAGCTTGCTGTTCAGTGCATGTTTTAGCTGTAATATTTTGACAAATCCACACTCCATCATATTTGACAGCTTCCCTCCCTCCAAGGCAACTTCTGATCTTTATTTATTGTTTCAATTCCTTTTTTATTCAAGGATAAAAAGAAAAGAAAGAGGGGGAAAAAAAACTACAGCAAAATTTCAAAACCCCATCAATCAGGGGACAACAATGGTACATACATTGTATATTGTTATCCCTACATTGTTCACCCAGAGCACAAGACATCTGCACTCAATTGTCTGAACAATACCAGCACAAATCTTTCTCATTAGCAAACTCAAAGAAATCAGTAATGTAACTATCTTATCTATTTTTTTTACATACATGCACATATACATGTTTTTTCTTTCAGCTTGTCACACTAATGAAGCAATATGTTTACACCTGTGTGTCTTATTTAACTAATGAGTATGGTCTCAAGCTGCAGCTATTTATAAAAGTATGCAGTTTGTCCTTCTTTATGGCTGAGTAATACTCCATTGTATTAAAATACCACTTTTTTTTAATCCATCCCTCAGTCAGTGAACATTTAGATTGTTTCCAAGATCTGGCTAGTATAAACTGTGCTGCTGTAAACATGAGTGCACATATGTCACTGTAGTATAATGTTTTTAATTCTTCTGGGAAGATACACAGAAGGGGAATAGCTGGGTCAAATGGGACCTTCAAACCTAGTTGTCTGAGGAGTCACCACACTGATTACCACAGTGGTTGCACCTGTGTGCATTCCCACCAACAGTGGAGAAGGATTCCTTTTTCCCCACAGCCCCTCCAGGATTTGTTATTAGTTGAGTTCTTGATAATAGCCACTATTTCCGGGGTGAGGTGAAATCTCAGTTGTTGTTTTAATTCAAATCTCTTGAATGACCAGTGGTGTTGAACATTTTTAACCTACTTATTTGCTGTTTGCATTTCTTCATCTGAGAAGTGTGTATTCATCTCAGATGCCCATCTTTGGACTGGGTCCTTAAATCTGGGAGGATTTTTTTTTTTAATTTCTTTGTATGTTCTCAATAGTAATCCTTTGTCTGAGGAACAGCTGGCAAATATTTTCTCCCACTTTATGGGTTGTGTCTTCACTCTGTGGTTTCTCTTGCTATGAAAAAACTTTTCAGTAGGGTGAGATCCAGGTTGTTGATTCTTTATAATAGTTCCTCTGCGATCTGGGTTTTGTTCATAAAATCTTTGCGTATCCTAATGTCTTCCAGAATTCTACTTACTCTACTTCTAGCAGATTTAATGTTTCTGCTTTAATTATAAGATCTTTCATCCATTTTGATTTTAGCTTAGTACATGGTGAGAGATAGGGGTCCAGTTTTAATCTTTGGCATGTGTAGAGTCAGTTTTTCCAGCACCATTTAAAAGAGGCTGTTTTTCTTGTAGTGAATGTGCTTGGCACCTTTGTCAAAGATAAGGTGGCTTAGTGTGTTTGCAGTTGTTTCTGTATCTTCTAATCTGCTCCATTGATCTTTGTTTTTTTTTTTTTTTTTTGCCAGTACCACACTGTTTTTATTACAATAGCTTTATAGTATAATTTCAGATCAGGAGTTGTGATGCCCCTTGTTTTGTCTTTTTTGCCCAGGATTGCCTTTGCTATTCTCGGTCTCTTCTGGTTCCAGATGAAGTTTTGGATTCTTTAATTCTGTGGGATATGCTGTTGGGATTTTGATTGGGATGGCATTGAATCTGTATAAAGTTTTGGAAGTATGGCCGCTTTCACTATATTGGCTCTTCCTATCCAAGAGCATGGAATACATATCTCTTCATTTTCTAATACCCTCTTCAGTCTTCTATTTCAGAGTACTGTAGTTTTCAATGTAGGGGCTTTTTACATCCTTTGTTAGATTGATTCCTAGGTATTTCTTGTTTTAGGGTACTATCGTGAAAGATATTATTTCCCTGATTTCTCTTTCAGTGAGTTTGTTATTCCTGTACAAGAAGGCTAATGATTTTTGAGTGTTGACTTTGTAATGAGCTACATTACTTTGTAATGAACATCACTGTTTTTTAGGGAGATTGGCCTGTAATTCTTTTTTTTTTTTTTTTTTTTTTTGGCCTGTAATTCTTAGTTGTGTTCTCTAGTTTTGGAATCAGTAATGCTTGCTTCCATGAGTGAATTTGGGAGTACTGCTTTCCTTTCAATTTCACTAAAGAGTTTGCCAAGTAGTGGTGTTAGATCTTCACTAAATTTCTTGTAGAATGCAGCAGTGAATCTATTAGAGCCTTGACTTTTCTTTGTTGATAGGTTTTTAATTACATCTTTGATTTCATTTATTGATATTGAGTTATTTAGAGTTTTTACATCTCCTTGATTCAGCTTTGGTAATTTGTATATACTTGGAAATCTGTCCATTTCTTTTATATTTTCCATCTTACTAGAATACAAGTTTTCAAAGTAGATGTAGATGATTTTCTAGATTTCTGCAGTATCTGTTGTGATTTCACCCTTTTCATCCCTAATTGTGTGGATTTGAGTCTTGTCTTGTCTTTTCTTTTTTGTACCAGGAATCAAACTCACAACCATGCCCGGGCAAGGCAGGTGCTTATGCTGCTGTGCTAAATCCCCAGCCCCATATTTCCTTTTTTTGATAAGATTGGCTAAGGGTTTGTCAGTTTTACTTATTTTTTCAGAGAACCAGCTGTTTGATTCATTGATTCTTTATGTTGTTTTTTTAGTCTTCAGTGTGTTAATTTCTGCTGGGATCCTTATAATTTCCTCCTTTGTATGAGCTTTTGGTTTAACCTGCTTTTTTTCTAGAAGTTTGAGGTTCAACATTAAGTTGTTTACATACACTTGCTCTGTTTTCCTGATAACAGGTATTTACTGCTATAAATGTCCCTCTTAAGACCGCTTTTATTGTGTTGTATTGTTGCTAACGTTCAACTATAAAAACTGTCTAATTTCTTCTTGAATTTCATCTTTTACCCATTGGGTCAGTAGGATGCTATTTAATTTATATGTGTTTATGAAGTTCTTGTGGTTTCCTTTGGCATGGATTTCCAGTTTCATTGCACTGTGTCTGATAGTATGCATGGGATCATTTCAATTCTTCTGCATTTACTTATGTTTTACGAGCCATTATGTGATTTATGTTGGAGAATGTCCCGTGTGCAGCTGAGAAGAATATGTATTCTGATGTTGTGGGGTGGAACACTATAGATACCTACCTACTAGATTTGTGATTATATAATAAAATACAAAACAGACCAGATAATTCCATGCAATACATAATTGCTTAATGTGTTAATTTTGCCCTTGTTGGTTAAACTTTAAAATGGATTAAAGAGAAACAGAGAAGTGAAAGAAAAGAGATTATAAGTAAGGTTGGAGGACAGAAGTGGATCCCACCAACTTGAGGAAACTGCTGAAGAAAAAAGAGACATGGAAGAGATAAAGAAGAACAGAATCACACCCACTAATAGGGTAGGAACCACTCTCATACTCACTTAAAAAAAAAAAAAAGAAAGAAAGAGAAAAATAAAACTAAAAAAGAAAAAGAAAAACAAAATAGTCCTACTTCCTGGATTCTCTCTGGTTTCACTAGTGGACAGCCTGTAGCTACCGAGTCCTGAATCTCTGTTTCTATCCCAGCAAACCTGCAGTTGCTTTATGGTGGAGTAGTAGATAATTTCAGCAGGCCTGCCCCAAGACCAGGCTCATTAGGTTTGCCACAGTCCAAGCAATTTCCACTGGTCTGTGCCCAGCTAGGAGCTGCTGGAGGCAGCCAGCAGCAGTTCTGGGTTCCGGGCTTATCCAGGCAGACTTCAAAATGGCTCCTCGCTAATTGCTGTCTCTTGTGCGAGGACTTGGTTCTCTGTGCTTACAGCCAGCCAGTGCGGTCCTCCACGTCTGCTGCTCCCCTCCAATGGCACATCTCTGTAGAGGCCTGCAGCGTCGCCAGCCACCACCATCACTGGGACCGTGGGTCCCCAGGTTGGAACAGCTTCTCTCACACGTGAGTCCGGCTCAGGGCAAAGATACCACCAGCTACTGCCGCCTTCTTCTTAAAGTTTTTCTTTTTACTCTCTATGGGCTTCATTTCACACTTCAGATTCCTCCTGCATTCAGGGGATCCACTTTGTTTCTGTCTTGTTTACGATGCTATAGTCCAGTGTCCAGATGGTGACTTTCAGAGAGGCTGTTTTTTCTGCTGCTTACTGCTCCATCATCTTTGGATGTTTTCTCCTTATTTTTGTTGCTGGTAATTTTTTTTTTTTTTTTTTTTTTAAAGACAGGGTTTTGGTATGCAGTTCAGGCTGGCCTCAAACTCCCACTGGTCCTCCTGCCTCAGCCTCCTGAGTGCTGGGATTACAAGTGTGTGTCACTTGGCTCTTGGTGGAGACTTTGATTACTAATTCCGTGTGTTACCACTTTCTGATTTTTTGTTTTTTGAATCCATTTTATATGTTTTTAGAGAAATCTATTTCATCTAGGTTAATTTTTTAGCATGCAGTTGGTCATAGAATTCCAGTATAATCATTATTTTTGCAAGTTTTGATTCATATTTATTCTCTTTCTTCTTTCTTGCTGGCTTGCTCTTCTAGAGAGTTTTGTCAGTTTTGTTGATCTTTTCTAAGAACCAACTTTGATTTCATTGAGGTTTTCTTTTTCTATTACCTATTTCTTTTATTTCTCTTCCTGCTTAGATTTAGTTTGTCTTTCTAGTTTCTTTTAAAAAGTTATACATTTTATTAGTATGTATTAATATTGCATAACGGTAGGGGTTTGGGGTGTTGGTACCTGCATTTAACATTAGCCTAATTTCAATTCTGTTGTCCCCCATTCTGTTTTCTCTCCACTCGCTCCAATCCCTTCCCCATCTCCATAAGTCTACTCCTGGTTTTCTGTCATCTCCCCTCCCTTTCTCAGTGTTTCCCTTCTTCTTATCATAAAAGAGAAAAGATGATACTTAACTTTCTGAGTCTGGCTAATAGCTCTTCATGATTTGGTTTCTAGTTGTATTTTTGTGCAAACATGATTTCATCCCCTTCCTCCACCTCTTTTTTGATGATGAAAATTGAACCCAGAGTCTTTTGCACTGAGCTATGAAACAGGGTTTCAATAAGTTGTCCATACTGGATTTGACTTCTCTTGCTTCAGTCTTCCAGAGAACTGAGATTATTGGTGCTGCTACCACACCTGACTATTTTTTGTGTGTGTGGTTTAGTAATATTGTTTTGTGTGTGTATATACTATATTTGCTTTATCATTTGCTGTTGGGGACCTAGTTTAACTTTTGTGTATTGTGCTGCTATAAATGTGGATATGTAGGAATTACTGTGGTGTACGCAGTCTTTAGTTCTTTGAGGAATATTCCTATGGGTGGAATAGCTGGGTCAAATAGTATTTATGTTTAGTCTTTCAAGGAATTTCTACTGATTTCCATAGAGGTTATATTAGTTTCCATTCCCCAAGACCATTCCTTTAACCCCACAGCCTCTCCAGCATTTGTTATTATTTTATTTCTTGATGATGGCTATTCCTTCTGGAGTAAGATAGTATCTCAGTGTTGTTTTTGTGTTTCTCTAATAGCCAGAGATGATGAACAAAAAAATGTTCTTTTTTCATGTATTTATTGGTTGCTTGTACTTCTTAGAAGTGTCAAGACCAGTTTATGTGGCTCAGCATTTGATCGGTCTTGGTGAACATTCCATGTACACTTGAACGTTGCTTTCTTCACCTGTTATGTGAGTGCTCATTTTAGTTTAGTTTAGTTTTGTTTTGCTTAGTTTTATTGTTTTGCTTTGTTTTTTTGAGACAGGATCTCACTCTGTAGTCTAGGCTAAACCTGAATATACTGCACAGCCCAAACTGGCCTCAAACTTGCAGCAATTCTGAGTGCTGGGATTACGGTTGTGTACCACCACACCTACCTCAAGTGCTCATTTTGAAAGTTAGTAAAGTATTTAACCATTCTAGCTCTTCCAAATCTGTTTAAGTATACCTTTTACAACCTACTATTGGAATTGGCAAAATCAAAACAAAACACTCACCAGGCTTTACTTTCCTTTTTGAAATGTTCTTCTCTTTCTAATACCTATTTTTAATTTTTTAGTTCAAAGGACCTTTCTTGTAAGCATTCCCAGAATTTTCTTTATTCATCCAGCATTAAGTTGCATTTTATATACGCAATATCAGTATATACCATACTTAATTGCTAGACCTTTTGCTTCTCATGGGCAGAGATTATTGTTTCATCCTTCTGCTTCCATTCCATTAGTAAGTAACCAGTAAGTGTTGAAATTTTAATGAGACACCTTTAAGACTGGAATATTTTTACATGACTGTCATGGCTTATACCTAGATTCCCCCTAGTCTTATGTGCTTATAAGTGGGGCTTTTTGGAAGTAGCTGGATCTGTGGTGTATGAATATGCATTAAGGGTATGTGATAACAAAATTAGTCCACTGACTGGTTTAGTGTAGTTCTAGATGTGGATAATGGGAAGGCCCACACAACCAATAAGCTTGCAACCTGGATGGAATACAGAGGGAAAGAGGGAAGGCAGCCTCATTGCTTGCTGCTTCCTGCCTGCCCTGCCATCGACTGTTTCTTCTTTGCCATGCCACCCTGTGTTGGAGTCAGCCAACTATGAACTGAAACTTCAGGCCGTGAATGCCAAGGTGTTTTGTCACAAGAAGGAAGTAATTATGACAATGTCCATTTTTTCCTCATTACTGGATTGAATCTAGGGCCTTTACGCTGAGCTACATCCCCAATACCTTTGATTAAATTTTGAACTATGGTCCCACTAAATAAGTTGCTCAGACTGGACTTAAATTGGTTCTTAGGCTCCCAAGTACTGGGATTACAGGAATGAACCACTGTGTCGACACAGTTTCTTTATTCTTTCAAGACCTATGTCTCATCAGTATATTGTTTAATAATAACTTTTATGATTTCTATTTAATGATTCTGGGTTTAAAGTAGGCTTACTGGTAGGTCTTTTTCAAAATGAACCTATAGAAATTAAAATTTTCTGGGCATGGTGGTGCATGCTCTTCAGGAAGCAGAGGCACAATTGTAAGTTTGAAGCCAGTATGGGCAATTTAGCAAGACCTTGTCTCAAAATGAAAAGAGAATATGGCTCAGTGGCAGAACACTTGCTGGCATACTTTGGATTCAATTCACAGTACTGCAGGGAAAAAACAAACCCTATCCATTTCCCCATGTGCTTGCTATATAAAAATTTTCCTTTTCTATGGACTTCTGTACTTAAGAAGAAAAAAATTTAGATAAAATGTGTGTACTATAGATGGGACCAACTCAATAATAAATGCCTTGAATTATAAACCACTTTATAAGTTTACATATTCTCTAAAGGAAAGGTATAACAAAATTACCATTAACTGTGTCGGTGACTTATAAACAACAGAAATTTATTTCTCTCGTTCTGTAGGAAGTAAAGTCCAAGGTAAAGGTTCAGGCAGATTTGATGTGGGTGAAGGTCTACTTCCTCATAGATTGCTGTCTTCTCACTGTAACCTCACACAGTGAGAAATGCTGGAGATCTCTTTGAAATGGTTTTTTTTTTTTTCCTCTTTTTTTTCCTTCTCAGGATAGTGTCTTACTATGTTGTCATGGTTGACCTCAAATTCACCATCCACCTACCTCAGACTCCCAAGTAGCTGAGACAACAAGGCATATGGCACCTTGCTTGGCTTTCTTTAGGGCCTGTTTTATAAGTATTGGTCTTACGGTACAGCCGTGACCTAATAACTCCACAAAGCCTCCAACATATGAGTTGTCAAAACCCAACAATCTTTGAGAGTTTTTGTTGAAAAAGTTTATGGAGCTTCTCTGTTTAAGAAAAGAACATTGTTTTTCGTATTGTTTGGATTAATAAAAGCACAACTTTGGAGGCTTCCTAACTGGTCAGTAAAGACTGTTAATTTTAGGGTGGGAGATGTAGCTCAGTGGAAAAGCACTTGCCTAGGGCCTGTGAAGCTTTGATACTCAGCACTGGGAAAAGAAATAGGGGGGATTTTTAATTTTGCCAGGAATTTCTATACCTTCAGAAGTTTAGAGGCTTTATTGAAGTTAGACTTTTCTGTGAGTGCATTCATTGCTGTGAATGGCTTTGTTTTCATACTTTATTCCTCTTGAGCCTCAAGATGAAAAGGTGACACAGTCTACGCTTTGTGGGAGATTGTTTTCAGGACCCTCTTAGACACCAGAATCCACAAATACATGAGTCCCTTAATAAAATGGCAGTGTATTTGTAAATACCCTGCACATATCCTTCTACATTCTTTAAGTCATCTCTAGATAATGTGTAATAGCTAATGTAATGAAAATGCTATGTAAGTTTTTTTAATGTTCATTTTATACATCTATGTTTTTGTACTTCTTTTTTTTTTTTTAACATTGTTATACTCTAAAGGGAATTATGATAATGGAAAAGTCAGTAGTATATGTTCAGGAGGAATTTTTTGTTGTTGTTGTTATTTTCTGTCCATGATTGGTTAAGCCTGCAAATACTGTGGTTTAAGTATATATTCTTGATATTAGTGAAAAAAAGGTATAACCAAAGTTGTATTAGAATTCAAATCTCCTTATCTTTGTGTTTTCATAGATTATAATTTAGGGTATAGCCTTAATTTTCTGCATATTGTGGCAGTCTTGCAGCCATTAATTTTGTTGTCTATAAAATGAGAATTTACTAAGTAGATGACCTCATTTGTTTTTCTGCAGGCTTATTGTTTTAGGCTGTGCTGAGGATCAAACTCATAGCCTCACATATGTGAGGCAATTGCTATACCACTAAGCCACATCCCTAGCCCATTAGTGCAGTTTGTGTGTGTGTGTGTGTGTGTGTGAGATCAAAGCTGGCCTTGATCTTGCTCTATAGCTCAGGCTGACCTCAAACTCAAACTTGATATGCTCCTGACTCAGCCTTCTAAGTACCTGGATTACAGAGGTGCACCACCATACCTCATTTAAATCAGTTTTTAAAATATGCTTATGTGTGGTAAGATTGAAATCTTTCAATAATTCAACCATTCTTGTTACATTTATGTGATTGTTGATTATTGGAATTATGTCTGGATTTGATTCATTCATTGAATGATAGTTTTCATTATGTTTTAAGTTAAAGGCAGAATCCTCATTTTTACTACATTTTGTTTACCCACTCAATGCTTCATATGTGGTTAACTGCTCAATAAATTTGTAGAATAGATGAGTGATTAGTATGATAATGTTAGCATGGGTACTACAAGGCAGCATAATATTATAGAAAGAATATGGGTAACATTGGATCCTTTAGATCGTAAAATATTTTGGAGTTGGTCAAGATGAATTGGGTTAATAAAAAGTATAAAGCCTTTTACTTAAAGTGTTCCCTTTTTTAGTTTCTTTTTTTTTTTTTTTTTGTCTTTTTCGTTTTTATTGGTACCAGGGATCGAGCTCACGACTGCCTGCTTGCAAGGCAGGCGCTTATGCCGCTGAGCTAAATCCCCAGCCCCTACCCTTTTTTAGTTTCTTATTTCAATTTGCTTAAAGACCAACATTTTTTTAAATCAATGTATTTTTGTCATGTAAGCTGGGCGTATTTATGTACACTAGTTTGAATTTCAATAAGCTTTGTTATTTTTTTCTCTTACAGTTTTACATGTGGCACCCATAAAAGATGAGGCTGAGAACACGAAAAGCTTCTCAGCAACCAAATCCAATCCAAACACAACGTACTGCCAGAGCAAAAAGAAAATATTCAGAGGTTGATGATAGCCTGCCTACACGAGGAGAAAAACCACCGAAGAATGAGACTGGCTTACTATCTTCAATTAAAAAATTCATTAAAGGAAGCACACCCAAGGTAGTAGTTTTGCTTTATACTTAACATTTTTTTAAGAAAATGAAATTGAGGCTGTATTCTCTAAGCATGTATAGATGATCAGTTGATATTGATAAATGCCTAGTAAGGGGATGTCTGCATCTTCGTGGGGCTAAAAATTTTTTAACTTGTATTTTTTTACATTTCAAAGAAAAAGTTTCCTGTTAATGTTTATTTACTATCCATATAGGAAAATGATCTCTTTTGTCTATCAGAATTCTAATATGATTTGTAAAGTGAAATCTATTACTTAAGGAGAAAACAAAATTAGTTAAAGAAGGAATGGACACTGACATATGTAAATTTACTATTGGACAAGCAGAAAAATTACTATTTACTTATGTAGTAGATTTTCTTATGAAATAATTAATTAAATTCAGGTATTCTGTTAGTATTGTGTGTCACTTGAACCTGACAGAGAGGGAGAAGGAGTATATGTATGTGTGTATATATGTAGTACCAGGGATTGAATTTAGGACTTGCACATGCTAGACGAGCTGCTCTTCTACCAACCTACACCTCCATTCCATGAATCTGAGTAATAGTACTAATAAAGTTTAGTAACTTCAAACCATAATCAAGATATTGATGCATTCTTTGTTTATATAGGATTTGGTGCTGTTTTTATGTTGTTGTTGTTTTTTATAATTATTTATTTAAATAATTCATTTGTTTTTGAGACAGGATCTTGTGATGTAGTTCAAGCTGGCCTTGAACTCGTTGTGTAGCCCAGGCTGGCCTCAAACTCACAGTAATCCTCCTGCTTAGCCTCCAGAATGCTAGGTTACAGACTATACTACCACTCCTGGTGCTGGTGCTTTTTTTGTGTGTGTAATTTCTTTTGTCAATTTTGTTTCTTTAAATAATTTTGTCTTATCCTGGAAGTATTCTAGTGAAATTAATCATGTGACAAGGATCAGATTTCTTCCAGTAACATGAATTCCCATCTCTTTAAATCCCTAATTAGCTCATTCTCCTGTGCAACTATAATTGTTACTCATAGTAGTAATTCATAATTACTCTTTATTTTTTATATATTCTTTTAGTATTTTTCAGAAGACAGATGTTATGTTCCCTAAAATGTGCAAGAGCAAAACCTCAGTCATTACCTACTTTGAATATTTTTAGATTTTATGATACCTATAATATATATGTCTAAACATCTGGATAAATTTTCCATATGTCTTGTGGCTTCTTATGTTATTTCCTCTGATCTTCTGTTGTTAATGTGACTTCATGGTATATTTTTTTCTAAATATTTAATTGCTGGTTCAATCGGTTGGTCAGCACTTTTTTTTTTCATGTGAACTTAAACACTTGGTCTTTCTATCAAAATTTCTGTCAAAGAAATTTTTTTAGTCAAAATGTATTAATATCTTTATATAAAGATGTTAAGCAGATTAGGGGAATGAACAATGTTAGCAAATTAATTTATTGTTAATAGCGAATTAATAGCAAATTATTTATTGTTTTTCCTATAGCTACACATTCATTTAGTTACACTGTTATTCAACTTAGATTTGTCATTCTATAATTATTATGGAAATTAATATATATTTAAAAGCCTCACTGAAATCAGAGCACATTTTTCTTTTCCTACTCTGATGACCCTATGTTAAAAGTAAAAAGTTTAGTTTGTCATGTATTATTTGTAATGACCCCTAATTTATCCCATTTTAGCTATATCATCAACCATCTTATATTCTTTTTTTTTTTAATTTTTAAAAAAATTTTTTTCTTTTTATCGGTACTGGGGATCGAACTCACGACTGCCTGCTTGTAAGGCAGGTATTTATGCCGCTGAGCTAAATCCCCAGCCCCAACCATCTTATATTCTAAAATTATTTTATATGATGCTTACTTACATATGCGTCTTAAATAGTGTCTTCATTTTCCAGAATTTGCAAAGGAATTTATGGCTGATACTAAGACACTTTATATGTAGCATTTCCTTAATCCTTATGAGCATCTTTTGATATTTTATGGAAGAGAAAACTGAGACTTAGTGAACTTCGGTAATATATTGTCAATAATAGTAATTATTAATTAGTGCATCTTTTTTTTGGTTTGTTTGTTTTTTGTACCAGAGATTGAACTCATGACCTCCTGCCTGCCACACAGACACTTATGCCACTGAGCTAATTCCCACAGAGATTGAACTCATGACCTCCTGCCTGCCACACAGACACTTATGCCACTGAGCTAATTCCCTGGCAGTAGTAATTATTAATATCTTTCCTGGGATAAAAAAAGAATAATAAAGAAAAAAGTAATGGTCACTGAGACTTATGAAACATTAAGAACACTGTTCTTAATGCGAAGAACACTGTTCTGAGTGTTTTCAAGTCTAATAAGTTATTTAAGCCTCACAAGGTAGATCCCATCATCGCTGTATTATAGATGAGGACACTGAGGCACAGGGAGGTACAAGATTACTTAGCTTTAAGTGGCATGAATGAAACCCAGAGTAACTGGTTTCAGAGCATACACTATCTATTTTTGAGACAGTCTTAGTATTAGTTTAGGCTGACCTTGAACTCATGGCAATCTTCTTGTCTAAGGATCCAGAGTGCTGGCAGGTATGTGCCATTAAACCTGGCCCAGAGCTTACACTTTTTTGTGTGTGTGTGCCAAGAATTGAATTCATGACCTTGTGCTTGCCAGGCAGTCACTGTGCCACTGGGCTATATCCCTGGCCATGCATTCTTAGTGACCGTGCACTATAGCATCTCTAACAACTGGTAGTGCTAGAATTTTTTATTTTTTTATACTAGAGGGTGAACCAAGGGCCTTCACACCCAGGGCTTCATCCTCAGCCCCTTTTTCAATTTTTTATTTTAAGGCAGGTTCTTGATAAATTGCCCACGCTGTGATTCTTCTGTCTTGCTCTCCCAAAGTGTAGGGATTACAGATGTACTGACCTCACTCATCTCTGGTGTCTTAAAGTCAAGTGTTTTGGACTCCATTATCTATGCTATTTCTCCTTTACTCTTCTGTCTCCAAAATATCTAGGTATGTACTGCCTTTACCTAATTAGTATGAGGATAATAAGTCTCTTTTATGGAAATTATTCTTTGGTGAAAGTAAATAAAAACTGCTTCTTACGCTGTCCATTTTGTCATTTATTTGTATTCTGTCTTAGCTCAAAGCTTGAAGTGTTTTTTTTTATAGGAACTCTTTTCTTTAGTATTTGTGCATATACCTTCTACTTTCTTAAATTAGTCCTTTTGACGAATGATAGACTATTATTAGTATCCGTGTCAAACTCAATTTAGTTATTCATAACACCTTTGGTTTCCTTGGTACTTTTCTTTTGGATTTATATTCTTACATGAGTAGACCTGAAAGATTTAGACAAGCATAATCCTAGGTTTTAGAAACTTCCTTGCCTGCTTTTTTAGCCTTTTTTTTTTTTTGCTTTCTTTAGCTACTGTGATGTCTCAGATCACATAACTACTAGTGTCCTTGCTATATGGCTTGCTTGCAGTACTGTACTAGATATTGAGCTATTTTATTTATTTATTTAGAGAGAAGACCCTACTAAGTTTCCCACATGGGACTTGAACTTGTGATTCTGCTTTCTTAGCCCTCAAAGTGCTGGCATTACATGTGTGTGTCACTATGCCACTGTTTTTATATTACCAAACAGGTTCCATCTCTACTTTCTTCATGATTTTTGCCATAAATTAAGCATGAAAATATTCAAATAATCTAAATATAGCTTGTTCACTTATGAATAGAAGGAGTGTGTATTCATTTGCTATGGTTGCTATAATAAAATATCATACACTAGGTAGCTTAAGTAGTATTTTCACAGCTGGGCATGGTAGTACACTTCTGTAATCCAAGTATGGGAAGTTGAGGCAAGAGTATCAGGATTTGAAGCCTACCTGGCTACATAGTAAGTATGAGGCCAACCTGGACTGTATGGTAGGTCTGTATGTCAAAACAACAGCAACAACAAAAAGACTTTTTCATTTAAATGACTGACAGTTTAGTAGACTTGTTTGTATCAGCATAAACAAAAAGCTTTGGGAGAGTTAACCTCTATGATACCACTCAGCAATAGGAATTTTGGACTCCATTATCTTAGAAAACCACTGTCATGTAGCAATCTGTCATTGATTGAAATGTCATTATGCACTGCATAGCTAGTTGGGTGTATAAGAAAGACTGTGATTGAGTGATACGTTATTTTTCAATATTGAGTTTATTGAACATTTTGATGTTTTATTCTAGAGTGAGATTGTCAATTTTGAATGTGTTCTCAGATAACCACTGTCAGTCCTGTGTTGCCTCCACAACATCAATTTATATATTATTGTTAAATGGGAAAATAGTACCAGTCAGAGTGATATGTTGGTTTATGCACAGTTTTCTCTTTAAACAAGGGAATTCTGAATAATAGGGAGTTTGATTTTATATTTCTTCAGGAGAAATATTCAGTTCAGCTGCTGCATAGGCATATGCCCTTTAACTTGTATTCCTCCCCTTTAAAATTAGAAATGATAATTGCCAGTATGGGCTCCCTTCCCAGAGGTAGAGTCTATTAGAAACTCTTCTAGTATTTGGATTTCCTTTTATGACTGTCCATTTTTTTTTCTTTTCTTTTTGAGAGACGGTCTCACTATGTAGTTCACGCAGCCAGGACTGCTGAGTGATGACATTCCTAATGCTTTTGTGTTTATGCTGATACAAATAAACCTACTAAACTATCAGTTATATTAAAGTATAGTGCAGTATGTAGCCCAGGCTGGCCTCAAATATGCAGTAATCCTTCTGCCTTAGCCTCCCTAGTTCTGGGATTACTGGTGTGCACCATCACACCCAGCTGTCCATTTTAACAACAGTGCTACTAATTTAAATCTCCACCATTGAGATCCTTTAAATTCTTATTTCTACTTAATTGTTTTTGGTACCCTTTTATATGCGCTGAGAGAACAATCCAGCTACTTTTACCTGCCTATCAAGAGTTGCTCAAGAGCCAAAGACTATAGCCCAGTGGCACAGCACCTGTCTGTCAAATGTAAGATGCAGAGTTTGATTCCTGGTGCCCCATTTAAAAAAAAAAAAAAAAAAAAAAAAAAAAAAAAAAAAGAGTTGTTCAACTCTGAAGCTCCCAGTTATTGTTTTTATTAGTGCTGTTAGTTACAGAGTTATAGTGCCTGCCTGGGCAATCGAGAGGTTGCAAATTCAATCCCCGGTACCAAAACCAAAACAAAAAATACCAAAGTTACAGGAGTATTACATAATCTGCCCTAACATTTTCCGCTCCCTCTTTTAGGATTCATTTTTCCCTACAGCCTTGTTACTTTTCATGTTGCAGAATGCAGGTTTTCAGAAATGTATATTTATGGGTTTGTTTTGGAGAGCACGTGTACTGGGAATCAAATTCAGGACCTTGTACTTGCTTGCACTTGCTTGGCAGGTGCTGTACCATTGAGCTATATCTTCAGCCCAGTATTTATGGTTATAACTGCTACACTTCTAGGGGAAACTGCAACTTAAAGCTTAAATTCAAGCTTTGCCATCTTAACTTGATTTTGAAGGTCTTTACAAAAAAAAACCCCTATGGCTGGGCATGTAGCACTGTGGTACAGTGCCTGCCTCGCAAGTGCAAGGCCCTTAGTTTACTTGTACCAAAAAAAAAAAAAAAAAAAAAAAAAGACAGAAGGAACCCTATCTTTTCTAGCAATAGATATTCCCTGTTTCAGATGTCAAGCTTCCTGCTCACCATTTTAAAATACAGGAAAATATTAAACAGTAAAAATGTTATTGTACATTACTGAAACATTTTGTGCAGTAAAACTATCTTGTTTTGATGGAGCAGCCTAAAATTAAATGAATTGCTGTGCAAAAGTATACGTGTATATTGAATGATATTTGAGAGTTATATCTTGTTTTGTATTTTTGCCACTTACAATACCATTGTTTAAAAAATAATAGTGTTCAACCTTTCAAAAATGCATAATAGTATAGTGTATTAGTTGTGTGGGTAAAAGCTTCAAATATAAAAAATTTGAGAAGTTAATTGCAATCAAATAAGAATAGTGATGTATATAAATTACATAGTTACAGATTTGAAAATCTGATCCTTTTCAGTGTTTCAGGTAGTCTCTAAAACAAGAAATTATAAGGAAATATATTGTAAGCAAAAGACTATGCAATAGATGACTAGAAAAATTTGTAAAAGAGAAAAATAGTTGTATAAATGGAGAAAAACAGGGTTAGTGATATAGCTTAATTATAGAGTGCTTACCTAGAAAGTGTAAGGCCCTAGACTCAATCCTCAGCACTGTAAAACAAACAGTGGAGAGAGATAAATCAGGCTGATGCTTGGAACTATATTGTTTTAGTCAATCACACTCCAAGAATAGTATCAGCTGGTCATGTGGATCTGCCCTAAATAAGGCAACAAATAGAGAGCTTTGAGCCCCTTGGTGTTAATGACAGTATTTAAATAATTGAGGCAGTAGAAATGTGGTAGTTGGCAGACTCTGTTTTTGGGGACTTTCATACCAGCAAGTTCAGTGAGACACCTTTTCTTACCCTTCATGCTCAAGGAAATGGTCTTTTTTCCCCCTAAAAACAGTTCTAACAGTAAGGAAAAATTGGCTGAAAATTCAGAGCACGTTATACAATTCAGTATTTCTATAGCTTGGAAAATTTAGGGGAGCCTCAGGAAAAGATCTGAATTGTGGGATGTCAAAATTGTGGGGATGCTGTAGTTGCATACTGTAACTTCATCAATACTTTTAAAACAAAATTTTCCTATGTTTTTAAATTTACACTCTTTGATATTAATTGCATTTTGTTTCTCCAGGATCTGAAAAACAAGAGAAAGTATACCATGTTTTATCATTTAAAACAATGTAACATATAAGGAAGAATGAATGTGCTCAGTGCATGTTTTTTCCTCTTATATCTTAAGGAAGAGAGAGAAAATCCTTCGAAACGAAGTAGAATTGAACGTGATATAGATAATAATTTGATCACATCAACACCAAGAGCAGGAGAAAAGCCTAACAAACAGATATCTCGAGTAAGACGGAAAAGTCAAGTAAATGGAGGTTTGTTAATATTTAGATACTGTTTTACTTAGGTGAAGCAGAGATCTTACTGACTTACTCTTGGTTTTTACAAATCTGCTTTAGCTTCTTTTTGCCTTATTTTTGTAATCTATTTTATATTCAGCTTTAGTAGCGTGAAGTTAAATAGAAATTTTATCTTCCAAAAAAATTTTACTTTGAGTTTGAATAAAAGCATAATAACAGTTGTTTAGCATAAAAATGTAATATTGAGCTGTAGTCATATAGCTCAGTTAGTAGAGCATTTGCCCAGAATTCATGGAGCCCTGGGTTTAGTGGGGATTTAGCTCAGTGGCTCAAGTGCCTGCCTGGCAAGTGCAAGGTCATGAGTTTGATCCCCAATACCAAAAAAAAAAAAAAAAATTTTTTTTTTTTTTTGAGATATGCACAAAAATTTGTTTCTGGAGCATGCTATTTGAGGGCTCAAAAGGTGCAGTACTTAGGTCATTTAATCCAATAGTTCTCAACTAGGAGTTGTTTTGTTGTTTTTATCAGTATCTTGAGGTCTTTATAGTTGACATACCCTGTGGAGGGGGATTGCACAAGCATCTAGCAAGTAGAAGTAAGGGATGGTAGCAAATATCCTACACTGCATAGTACAGCCCATCACAGCAAAGAATTATCAGGCCTAAATGTCAGTATTAAATTCCTGTGACTACTTATTGTATAGCTGAGAAGCTCCTTAAACTCAACAAGGAGAAAAACATTAAGGACCAGTAGAGAGACGTATAAAAGACAACACTTAGAGAGCATAGAGTTATTTTTTTAATTAAAGCTGTTTTCAGTAGGGCAGCAGTAACAGTGTATTGTGTCCTCTCCTCAGAACAGTAATATATTTTTATTATTTGAAGTGACTAATGTGGTCCAAAAGGAGACTGAAATGAGATAAGGAGGCAAGACAGAGAAAAGAAAAAAAGAAACAAGTTTTAAAAGGTTTAACAAAGCTGAGGCTGAGGCAGGAGGATCTCTGTGATTTCATGGCCAGCCTGGGCTGCATAAGGCACTTTGAGGCCAGCTTGCACAACGTAGCAAGACCCTGTCTCATTCATAAATAAATAAATTGAAATGAAATGAAATGTAGTAGTCACCTAGTTGATTTTACTTTTACATTTACTAAACAAAAAAAAAAATTTTTTTTTTTTTTTTTTTTTTACTTGTAAGTTGCTGGCCTTGGTGACTCAGGCCTTTGATCGCAACACTTGAGGGGCTGGGATAGGAGGAGCTCCACCTGTTCAAGGCCATCCTAAACTACATAGCAAAACCCTGTCTCAAAAAATTTTTTTGTCACACTACAAGAAACTTACAAATAACTGGTTATTCTTAATCACTCTGAAATGACATCTCGGTATCTATGAATGTTTTTGTGTTTTGGAGAAGGTTGTGCTGGGGATTGAACCCAAGGCCCTACTCATACTAGGTGAGTGCACTACCACTGAAATACATCCCCAACCCTCTTAAGTAATTTTTGTCTCTGCTGTAGCATTGTTTTCTTCAGTAGAGCGGTCTGTGCTGCCTCTACTCATATAGCTGTCATTCATTAAAAATAGATATGAAGGAAAGTTTTATGAAGGAGGCAGCATCCCCAAATGCAAACAGAAACAGAATGATATGTTCATGGTTTTGATACTGTTAACTTATTTGCTTGTTTATAAAGAATCTTCTTCTTCTCCTTCTCCTCCTCCTCCTCTTTCTCCTTCACCTCCTCTCCTTCTCTTCTGGAGACAGTTTCACTATGTAGTACATGGTGGCCTTGCACTCATGGCAATCTTCCTCCCTCAGCCTCTTCATTTTCTTTTATACTGTGTTGTTTGAAGACTTTCAGTGATTTTAAATGTAATGATTCCAAATGTACTTTGGAAAAATTTAACTTTTCTAAATTACTACAAATACAATAAGATGAAGTGATTTAGAATTGATTCATTTTATGATTTCTTTCTCTTTTTGCAACAGAGTTTTGTTATGTAATTCAGGCTGGCCTTGAATTCACTATGGAGCTCAGGCTAGTCTCTTCACTCACAGTTTTCCTCCATCAGCCTCTCTAGTGCTGGGATTACAGGTGTGGGCTCCCAGACCAGGCTATTTCATGATCTCTTAATAGCACTTCTAAACATTAACATTAATCAGTTTTCATAGAGTGGTTTTTGGGGGTGGTGTTTTTAAAATGAATACCATACATTTCTAAAACTTAGTGTTTTGTAATCACAAACTTTTTATTTTTCTTAGAAGCTGGTAGTTACGAAATGACAAATCAACACGTAAAACAAAATGGGAAATTAGAAGATAATCCTTCCTCTGGCAGTCCTCCAAGGACGACATTGTTGGGGACCATATTTTCTCCTGTCTTCAACTTTTTTTCACCAGCAAATAAAAATGGTAAGTGCAAGCCATTTTTATGTCGTCAACTATTAACTAGAATTTGGGTTTTAAAATTGCAGATTTTTGGGCTGGGGATATAGTTCATTGGCATAGTGCCTGCCAAGCAAGTGCAAGGTCAATTCCAGGTACAATAGCAGGTTTTCTAGTTTCTTTTTAAAGATCTTTTCAAATTTACTATCATATTTTGTCAGTAATTTTGATTTATTTATAGTTTCCTTAAAAATATAGTTCTCAGACATTAAAATGGCTGAAACAAGTTATGTTTCTGTTGTATTGAACTCTCCTTTTATTACCTGAAAAGCTAAATGATGAACTTTGGGCTGGAAGGACAACTTTTATTTTTACTTGAGATGATGTATGTAATACTTAAGAAACACTTTCAGTATCCTTGGTTTTTGGAATTGATTGAAGATCGATTAAAGTGAACCAAGACCATAAGCTGTTTTTTGAACCACTCAGTTTATCATCATCTGATGATTCCCCCCCCCCAAGGATTTTTAATCTAAATAGTAATTCAGTTCATTTGAATTTTAGGTAAATAATGAAACTACCCTAATTCAAATTAGTTAAGGTGTTTGAGACAGTTACTGAGTACATGGAAAAGAATCACTGACTGGTTGTTGTCTGGTTACTTAAATCCTAATCTTAAGTATGTGTCTGGATAATAGTGCAGGTTTCTTAAAAATACTTTTTTATTTTACCCTTTTTCGGGGGGGGTACTGGGGACCACACTCGTGACATCATACTTACAGGCAAGTGCTTGTGCTACTGGGCTAAATCTCTGGTCCATGGTGCAATTTTTAATTTTCTAGTTTTTTTGTTATCGGGTTTTGAACTCACAACCTCGAGCTTGCCAGGCAAGCACTTGAGCCCCTGAGCTAAATCCCTGACCCAGTAGTGCAATTTTAATAAGATATAATGGTATAATGTAAAATTAAGATGTCTTGAGGGAAGAAATACTGTGATATATGTTGCCGTATGAAAGTACGATAGAGTTGGGGCTGGGGATTTAGCTCAGCGGCATAAGCGCCTGCCTTGCAAGCAGGCAGTCGTGAGTTCGATCCCTGGTACTGATAAAAAGGAAAAAGACAAAAAAAAAAAAAGAAAGTACGATAGAGTCCTATAAGAGAAACAACCACTTTTAACTGTTCAATCTTATCTGTATCCCCTGTATCACACATGAACATATATTAATATCTTTTTTATATTAGTATCTTATAGAGCTAGATACTAATGTATTGGAATTGGTGCACTAAAGGAAAGAGAATAGACTTTGAAGTTAAATAAACTTATTTTAAAAATCTACTTTTGCCAGTCTTTAACAGTACTTGTCAGTACTTTAAATTCTAGTGCCTCTTAATCTGAGAAATGAAATACTTGTATTTCAATGTTGGGAGTGTTTTGAAGATTTCAGTTTATACAACATATAAATATATTTAGCATCTATAATATTCACTGTTAGTTAATAGAGATTTAAAAATGAATAACATGTAATCCCTGTCTTCAAGGAATTTACTTTTTGTTGGGGGAAGGGTTATGATCCAGGTTTGGTAGCACACACCTATAATCCCAGCTACATTAAAGGCTAAGGCAGAACAATTGCAAATTCAAGGCAAAACCAGGCAATTTTAGTGAGACCTCTGACTCCATAAAAAGGGCTAAGGATAGGGCAGTTGCAGAGTGCTTGTTTAGCATGTGTTCAGGCCCTTGATTGAAACCATGGTGTTGTCAAAAGAGAGTAAGATGTAATTAAATACTTTATAGATGCATTGATAGTCATTGGAGAGTGGGGTACTGAAAAAATGGAGTGGCCCTGTCTTCTGGGTATGGGGTGAGAGGCTCACAAGAGGCTTCATAGAAAAGTTGGATTTTGAAAGATGTTAAAGGGGATTGTATGCACAGAGAAGGAATAATGTGAGCAAAGGCCCCACAGCAGAACATGATGTAGCATACCTGAGAAAATGTTGTGTTCAACTGAAGAAGCTTTGTATTTAAGAAAGGATAATATAAAGAGACTTATGAAGAAGTCAGATAGAACTAACAAGAATAAAAGCCGAGTGGCGGTGGTGTACCTATAATCCTAGCACTCTTAAGAGGCTCAGTTAGGATTATTGCAAATTGGGGCCCAACCTAGGCATCTTTAATGATATAGTGAGATCCTGTCACACAAAAAAAGCTCAGTATAAAGGCTCTGAATTCAATCTCCAGTTGCCCTCCTCTAAAAAACAAAAACAACAAAAACTATGAGCTCTGTTCTTAGGGGGGAATGATTGAAAAATTGTAAATTGGCAAATATGGTAATGTAACCAGATTTATGTTTTAAAAAGATGACTTTGGCAGTAGAGTGCAGATTAGATTCTACAGAGGCTGGAGACAGAAGCAATAGACTTGTGGTAGTACATATGAGACCTTATTTGTAGTTATAAAAGAGGAAGAATCAGAATATAAGATAGACACATTGGCACAGATCAGATATGAAAGAAAAAAGGGATTAAGAAAATCAAGAGTAGAAGATTCAAGAAAGACAAAGTTCCCTGGAAATAATTTGAGTTTTATTCTGGCCAGATTGATTTTTCAGATGCTATGAAACAACCAAATAAAAATATCTGGGAAGCAATTATTATTCCATTGTGAGCCTCAGATTTTTGAGTTTAAGCAGTAAATGATGTTGTTATCCCTTGTTAGTGATTATTTGAAACCTGTGGTACAATTGGCTTATTTAGTTCAGCAACCCAAGTTTAGGATTTAGGGAAAACATTTAAGGACTGGTAGAATTAAGAGCAGCCAATGAGAGGAATCAGGGAAGAAGCAGGAGAAACTTCAGTTCATAGATGCCAAAGAATGTGGGACTATCCAAACCCAAAGTAAAAGACTGAATAAAGGAAAATGAGCTTTGAAAAGAGAGCGCTGAGCTAGGCACAGTGGCGCTTGTGATCCTAATGCTTAGAAGACTAAGGCAGGAAGATCATGATTTTAAGAACCCTGTCTCAATGAAGAGGAGCGAAGAGGAGAGACAGCTGGATCTGATAATTAGAAAGTCATTAGTTCTTTGGCCAAAAAAATTCAGTGGAGTGCTTAGACTGCAAAACCTAATATCACTGAATTAGGAAAATAAAATGGAGAATAAGAAAAGAGATAACACCTGACCTAGCAGCACACACCTGTAATCTCATGAGTTTGAGGCCAGCCTGTACTACATAGCAAGACCCTGTCTCAAAAAACACCCACCCCCAAAGACACAGCAATAGCGCATTACTTTTATGAAATTGGGTATAAAAGAAAAACTAGAGAAATTACAGTCTCCACAGGTAATATATCTGCCTTAGGAAAGGGTCTTATATTAAGAAACCAAAAACAGGAAGGAAAAGTGGAGGTTTTTAGAGACTGTTGACAGAGCTAGGATTGAAAGAACAAAAAACGATTTAAATTGAAATGAGACCGTTTTTTGATTATTTATTTATTTATGTATTTTGATTCTGAGGAACCTCTAAAAGTGTGAACAGAAACAATAGGAGTTGATGTTTGATAGTTACAGTGTTTTCTTCGAGAAAAGGAAATGGTTTTATTTACTGAGATGGTCCTGGTGGCACAGTCTTGAAGAGAATAGTGAAAGTTTAGAATGGTTGCTCTAGGAATAAGAAAAACAAGCAGAGAGACACAGGAGTATTGAGCACCATACTGTAGGCCTCATTAAGATTGAAAGATTTTGTTGGGGGGGGTTACCAGTCTTTTTAATTGTTTTGTTCAGGAGCCTGAGACACCTGTTGGTTAGATGTAGATTCAGGGGGATATCCAAGCATTCGGGAGACTGTGGCAAGAGGATTGCTTTTAAGTTTGAGGATACCTTTGGCTACATAGTGAATTCAAGGATAATCTGGAACACATAGCAAGAGGGATCTCTTGACAGAGGAAGGACAAGGAAGCAAAAATGCTGAGGATGCCAGTTTAAGAGTGGGTTAAGTTGGGCCAGGGATTTAACTTAGTAGCACAAACACCTGCCCAGCAAGTGCAAGGTCATGAGTTTGAAGTCCAGGTAAGAAAAAGAGGAAAGCAGCCTCTGGGGAATATGTTTAGAATAAAGAGACTGACTTGTATCAAGCTTGAAGATCAGATATAATGGGGATATTATAGATAATTGAAAAGTTAGCAGCAGGGTAGAGTCCAGGGATTTAGCTCAGTGGCACAGTGCTTGCTTTGCAGATATGGGGTCCCAAGTTTCATTCCTGGTACTCTACCCCAAAAAAGTTAGCAGGTTAATATATTTTATATTAAACTTAATATTTTAGGTCTCAGAGGTGAACACGTATTTATTGTTCATGTCCAGTTTATAAGCATAGTAATACCTGCCAATGTGCAGTATGAGTGAAGATAGTTGTAGCTCAAGAGGGCAAGAACTCTGAGGTTTAGTCAATCACCTGTAATAACAGAAAAAGAATACAGTATTAAACAAGGCAGGAGAACCAGTAGGTAAGGGTTGAGCATCTATGATTGAGGAGTATAGATAATAGCAATGAAGAAAAGTGAGGAATTGTATAGCTATGTATCAGACTCAAAAGAACAGGCTTTTGGGGGTGAACATTAATAGAAAATCAGTTATCTGGCAGCAGCAATAGAGGTAAATGATCTTTGATTTAATTAGTACAGTGGATATAGGAGATTAATAAAACATCAAGGGGGAAGGTGTCAGGAAAAAAATATTTTTTAAGAGATTAAATTGAAGGTTCAGTAAGGAAATTGAGAATATTGAGGGTTGATTCTGTTATGACATTTCAAAGATTCCAGAAAGAAATGAGTTCAGTCTTTATTATTGAAATGAGATTTTGTGATCAGTCATTCTTTTGTCTTTTAATAAAAAGGTTTTCTTGTTTAAGAAAATGTTTAGCTCAGCTGGGCATGGTGGCGCATGCCTGTGATCCCAGCAATTGGGAGACTGAGGCAGGAGGATTGTTCCACGCTCAAGGCCAGCCTGAACTGCTGCTTAGTGAGACCCTGTCTCAAACCTACCCCCACTAAAAAAACATGGAGTTCATTCTTGATTAACTACCTCTGGTTGAAAAATTACAGTTGCCTACAATAGCTAAAATGTTTAGTATTTGCATGAAAGAATCAGCAGCTCTTTGGGGATAATAAAGTACGTGCTATGTAGTATGTCTTCAGTGATGCTCGGTTTAATGAAAAAAAGTTGTAAACTGGATATGGTAGCACATGCCTGTAATCCTAGCACTCAAAAGAGTTGAGGCAGAAAGGTTGCTGTGAATTTGAGTCTAGTCTAGGCTACATAGTAAGTTCAGGACCAACCTGGACTACAGAGCAAGGTCTTGTCTCAAAGAAAAATTTGTAAGCTGTGATTGTTGTTTGACTATGAATAGGTATTTCTAAACTACTTGAGAATACAAGAAAAACTACATTATTACTTTACCCTACAATAGTTTGTATTTCTCATTGTTTGAAATGTCCTAAAATAGACATTTCTATGTCTATAGATAGATATCCTCAGCTTTGTTCTTCTATGAATTATCCATTTAAATAACTTGTACAGTGGTAATTGCATTTAGTTTTCCTAGGTATTAGAATTTTCAAGTGATGATACTGTGCTGAATGATGGTTTCAGGAACATCAGGATCAGATTCCCCGGGACAGGCTGTGGAAGCTGAAGAGATAGTGAAACAGCTTGATATGGAACAGGTGGATGAGATCACTACCAGTACTACTGCATCAACTAATGGAGCAGCTTACTCAAATCAAGCAGTACAAGTGAGGCCATCGATAAATAATGGTTTAGAAGAAGCAGAAGAAACAGTTAATCGTGACATCCCACCTCTTACAGGTGAAAAAAATTCCTTTTTTAAAAAACATCTCTTATCATTATGAATAGCAAATAAAAGTATGGTACTACTAGTTCTTAAATGAGCTTAAGTTTTTTGTTTCTTGAGTTAAGAAAACCTTTTTTTGAAACAAAACTTTGTCTCAAAAATCCAAGTCATTATTTGCACATGTGGGTGGTCTGAGGGCTCTGCGTAGGCGCAGTCTTTTACCTTCGGATTTGCTTTAGACATAAATGGTGCTGCCACCACCAACCTTGGGGACTTCTGTTCCTGGATCTCTTCCTGTAGTCTATTGTTGCTGCCAAACTCTAGCTTCTTAAAAAGCCCTAACTTAATTGTCATATTCCTGAGCCAGTTGACATTAAAATATGGAAACACATTTATTAATTCTGAGAGCTGTGTACAAAAAAGTGTAAGATGAAATTATGGCCGGGTATGGTGGCACACACCTGTAATCCCAGCATTTGGGAAGCTGAGCAGAAGGGGATTGCCTTGAGTTTGAGACCAGCCTGGGTTATATAATGAGTTCAGAGCCAAAGAAAATTGGGTAACAAGACCTTGCTGCAAAAAACAAAACAAAACAAAACCAAGAGAGAGAGATGAAAATATGTTCTACTGTTCTTAAAAGTGAAGTAAAAGTAAGCGTGGATCATCTTCCTCTGGGATAGATTTTATCTATCCTAGATTTATTTTCTATTCCTTGTGGTACAAGGTATTTGAGAGAATCCAGAAAATGTGTATTCATTAAATATGATTTAGACCCATAATCCCAATACTCAGGAGTCTGTGACAGGAGGATCACCATGAGTTCAAGGCCAGCCTGAGCTAAATAATGAGTTGAAGCCCAACCTGAAGTCATATGGAGTCCCTGTCTCAAAAAAAATATTGATACAAAGAAATAGAATAATGTAAGTATTTAAATATAAAAGAGAAACTTTTTAAAATAAACAGCAAGGAACTGTTTTGTTTTATTTATTTTTGGAAGCCAAGGTTTCCCTATGTGATTCAGGCTGGCCTTGCACTCATCATGGTGATCATCTTGCCTCAGCCTTCCGAGTGCTAGGATTACAGGTGTACACCACTACACCTGGCTACGGTTGAAGCATTTTAAAGAAAAAATGTACAATTAAGCATCTATAGAGTATAACCTAGTAATGCTATTGTGAAGAGAAGAGCAGCAAATAGAAGAAAGACGTATTTTAAATTCATTAAGTAAAATAGTCATACCTTTAATGTTAAGCAGAAAGTTAAATACTGAATCGTACAGGTGAATCAGCAACACTGGTTTTTTGTTGTTGTTGTTGTTGTTGTTGTTTTGTCTTTTTCCTTTTTATCGGTACCGGGGATCGAGCCCTGCTTGCAAGGCAGGTGCTTATGCCGCTGAGCTAAATCCCCAGCCCCAATACTATATAATTCTTCTGAGGGTAAAATTTGAAAATTGACCTGTCATTTTATGTTGATTACTTTGCTCTGGGTTATAAGGCTAATAAATGGTAAAGTATAAAGTCTAGGGTTCTTGGCTTCTTGTTTGATGTTTGTTCTGTTTGTGATGTCTTAGTATTTATTTTTTTTTTAACTGTGAAGATGGAAAAGGTACTTCTGTAACTTTTGTGGTTTCTACAGAAGAAAATAGACAGTAGCCAACTCACTCATGCATTTATTCCCCAAACATGAGCACACTTTTTTTTGTGATAAGAACTGTTGATACAGATAAGTAAGATAGAAAATTACTGCATAGTATGGTAAATATTGTTGAAAATAAATGAACAAAGTGACACCAAGGCACATTGTAGTTACTCTGGGATGGTAAGGTTAACAGAGATAATGTTGAGCATGAAAAACAAACAAAAGATGAAAACAAGTGCAAAAATACTAGTTTTTCCTTTTTTTTTTTTGAGGTTGTAGTTAAAGAGAGTAAGAAGGCAATAGGCTCTGTCATTTACTTAGCTCTAAAATGATGATAAGCTGGGTGCAGTGATATAAGCCAGTAGTTTTGGGTCCTCAGGAAGCTGAGCTGGGAGAATCACTCAGTCCCAGGAGTTGAAGACCATCCTGGGCAATATAATGAGTCACTTTAAAAAAAAATGAATAGGGGCTGGGGATTTAGCTCAGCGGCATAAGCGCCTGCCTTGCAAGCAGACAGTTGTGAGTTCAATCCCCGGTACCGATAAAAAGGAAAAAGAAAAAAAATTAAAAATTAAAAAAAATGAATAAATAGGGTGAGGATTTAGCTCAGCAACATAAGCACCTGCCGGGCAAGCATAAGGTTGTGAGTTTGATTCCTAGTACCAAAAAAAAAAAAAAAAAAAAAAAAAAAAGAATACTTAAGGTTTTGAAGGTTAAATGATAAAATATAAAAAATAGTTTGTAGGAACTCAGTAAATTCTTTTTCTTGGAAGTTATAGAAATTTGAAACACTAAAGTAATTGGAAGATAATTTCCGTTATCCTCTGATGCTAATGAACTATTAGAGATATAATGGTCAAGGATTTATAAAGATTCTGTATTATCTGATGCAATATGTTATACATACATACTAGATGACCTTGTCTAAGAAAAATATATCATAATCTTAAATAGGGTTAGTTTTTATCTTGAAAGACTATTATCCACCAGTATGCTGTTTCTATAGTTACTATGGCAATTTCATTGGATTCCACCTTAAACTTTTTATCTCTCGACATATTACTGGCTTAGTTTGTTAGGAACCATCATCGTCTTCAATTTATGTTGTGATTACTGTTTTAGAAAACTCTTCAGCGTATTTCTAGAGTGTTATCAATTGATGCAATCTTAGTTTAAACAGAATGAATTATGTGGCATGGAATACAGGCTATCTCTATGTTTCATTTTGAGACACAGTCTTCCTGTGTCGTTCAAGCTGACCTTGACCTCGCTGTGTGGCCTCTAATTCATGGTGATCTATCTTAACCTCCCCAGTGCTGGAATCACCAGTGTGTGCCACCACACCCACCTTAGAATTGCCTCTTGATTAAAGATGCTTATAAGTTACAAATAAGGTAACTTATAAGCAGTGATTTCTATACAAAGCAGCATTTCTTTATAAGAAAGTGGCTCTACCCCCCCCCCTTCCTGGGTCTTAAAGCAAAGGCCTTGTGCACTCCAAGCCAGTGATCTACTGCTAAGCTGTATCCGCAGCCCAGCCAGACAGCAGAATTTCTTAATTTCTAAAGATCATAGATAATCTTAAAATTCCTAAGAAAATATACATACAGTTTTAAAATAAGCCTTCAGTGGGGTTCATGAACTTTTTTAAAAAATGTATTTTAACTGATACATTAAAACAAGTCATGTATGTGAATGAGGTGTTCCCTATAATGATCAGTGTATGCATACACTTTAACTTTTAAATGAGGTTAAACATTTATTTCTTGAGGCATTTCTCTCTCCTTAGTAGCGAAAACATGAAGAATCTTTTTTTCCAGCCTTTTGAAATGTATAGTACATTATTGTTACCTGTGGTCACACCTCTGTGCAGTAACATCTCAGAACTCCTTGCTCCTAACTATAGCTTGGTGCTCACTGATAGCTTCTTTGCTCTCACTCCAAACCAGTCTCTGGTAACCACCCTTTAGTGAAATGAATTGTTTTAGATTTTGAATATGATTTACTTGTCTTTCATGTTTTATTTGTCTTTCTGTACCTAGCATATTTCACTTAACCTAATGATCTCAAGTTCATCCATATTGTTGCAGGTGACAGAACAATAAACTTTCTTTAATTTTGGTGTGCTAGAGATCAAACCCAGGATCTTGCACATGCTAAGCAAGTTCTCTCTCATTGAACTACATCCCAGTTCCTTAGTGGGCTTCTTAAAGACTGTTCTAATGGATCTTAGAACTTAAAGCCATATTTGAATCTGTTGTCAGCCTATATGTGCAAGGTGATGTATTAATGCTAGAAGAGCACCATAACAATTTTAGTTATCACATGTAAACTCTATTCAAATAGAAAGTAAATATAACTAGTAAATTTTCTCTTAGCTGATAGAGGTCTTCTTTTTAGTCACTGTAGGTTGCCATTTTGTTTGGAGGGGTAATTTTTTCTCTTGGTTTCTGTTACTGTTTGCTTTTAAATGTTGTTTACATATTGTTTCTGTCTTTAACCTAAAATACACAGAACCTTAGGAAGATGTTTTACAGAAAGAGTAGAAATATGTACTTCCTGATAAGCACTGAGTAAAAGTTAACATTTTTCTTGCACTTTATTATATAGCACCAGTAAATCCAGAGAGTGGTTATTCATCAGCTCACGCAGAGGCCACCTATGAAGAAGATTGGGAAGTATTTGACCCGTGAGTTGTTTCTGTGGTTTAAAAATTTTTTCTTTCTTCCTTTAATATTTCAACTCTGTAATGGTACCAAAAAGACGTATATTCAGTAAAAGCTTACTTTGCATTTTGATTCCCCCCCCCCCCCACTCCTGGCTAGCTGTATGTGGTAGGATAATTTCTTGTGATGTGTTTTTACTGAGATAGGGAGATTCAGTTTGTATGTTTCCACTTTTACATACATGTTTTATGAATTTAGTTACTTGGTTAAATGTGCTTTACTTCAAGATTTTTAAATAGGTTGAATTTAATATTATGCTTTGTAAAGATGTTGAAATTTTCATTAAATTTGATTTATAGCTATTATTTCATCAAACATGTTCCACCACTGACAGAAGAACAACTAAATAGGAAACCTGCTCTTCCATTGAAAACAAGAAGCACACCAGAATTCTCCCTAGTTTTAGACCTGGTAAGTATATTAGCTATAGCAGTAGAAAGAAGAGAAATTCTCTTTTAAAGTGCCAGTTTAGAATACCTGAAAGAATACAGAGAAAGCTGACTTAGTGGTTCCCAGCATCGAGGGAAGCTGAGGCTGGAGGACCACAATTTTGAGTTCCACCTGGGTAATTTTGTGAGCCTCTGTCTCAAGATAACAAAAAGGCTTGGGGATCCAGCTCAGTGGTAGAGTGCCCCTGGCAGGGAAAGATAGGATTATTAATGTAAATGTATCTTAGATTTTCTGAAATGCCTTTAAATATAGTTCAATGCTAGAATCTCCAGTTTAGTTTGGGTCAGGTATTCTTTTTGAGAATAAATCAGACTTTTATTTTTGCATTCCTAGAGATCAAACCCACATGTGTTAAACATATGCTCTACCACTGGGTTACACTCTCGGCCTGTGATTTCTTTTTATCTCCCAAGAAACTCTACTTTTGTTTCATTAGAAATATGCCTAGATTGTAGATTTCCTCTGTTCTCTTAGGTTCCCATATTTCCCTGAATGATTAAATACAACTTGGGTCTCAGCAAATTAACTGCAAAATCCACCTCTTTCCTGTTTTTGTTTTTGCACATTGTCTAATACCACAAACTATTAAGTGTCCAAGTGATCAGTTAATCTCTTCACACAGGCTACTAAAACCTCTCATTTAAAATTTGTATTTTATTTTATTTTAGTTTTTTGGTACTGGGAATCAAACTCAGGACCTTGCATTTGTCAGACAGGTGCTTATGCTGCTGAGCTATGTTGCCAGCCCAACAATTGATATTTTACTTGGGTGTAGTGACACATGCCTGTAATTCCAGCACTTGGGAGGTTGAGACAGGAAGATCTCCTCCACAAGTTCAAGGCTAGCCTGAACTACATTGTGAGATCCTATCTCAAAAAAAAAAAAGATAATGGAATCAAAAAGCTGTGATCATTCATGCTTCATTTTAATTTACCTTAAACACATTGAAAATTTTAGAGGTAGTGATGAGCAGTTTTATTTTAAAACAAAAAAACCATGGGTGCTGTGGCACACACCTGTAATCCTAGTACTCTGGGAAGCTAAGGAAAAAGGATCAGAAGTTCAAGCCCAGCTTGAGCCACTTAGCTTGGGCCTGTCTCAAAAATTTTAAAGGGGTTAAAGATTTAGCCGAGTTCAAAAGTCTTGGCTTCAATTCCCCAGCACCCCCCCCAAGTCCTGTTACTTAATTACATAATACTAACAGAGTTTTGGTTTTGTTTTTAAGCATTTATGACTTGAGAAATAGCTATTTGCATTTAAGAAGTCTTGAGAAAATAGGATTTAGTAATCAAAAATAAATTTTCATTGGCTACTATTTAAACAATGTACATGAAAGGGATTCATGATATACTGAAACATATTGTAAGATTCTTTAATGGCAAGTTGGAGATAAGAAATTAAGTAAGAGGGGCCCAGGATATAGCTCAGTGGCACAAGTGCCTGCCTGGTAAGTGTTGAGGTTGAGCGTTTGATCTCCGGTACCCCCCCCCAGAAAAAAAATTATATAAAAATATATAAGTATGGGGCTGGGGATTTAGCTCAGCAGCATAAGCGCCTGCCTTGCAAGCAGGCAGTCATGAGTTCGATCCCCGGTACCAGTAAAAAAGAAAAAGACAAAAATAATAATAAGTATACATCTATACACACATACCTATATTATATATATGCATGAATGATTAGATTCTTAAAAATTTGCTAAGTGTAAAAAATACAATATACATGTGATTTTAATAGAAAATTGGCAACTGCAGAGCTCAGAAGACTGGTTGTCAAACCTGAAAATACATCAGAATCACCTGAATAGTTTTTTAAGGATTGCTGAGTTCCATTCCTACTGAGATTATTAATATCAGAAATGGAGTTGGAAAACTGGATTTGTATTTCTGGTTAGTTCCCAGATGATGGTGATGCTGTTTATTGGTCTAGGAACTACTACTACCTTTGAGAACAAGTGACTCCTATCTTAAATTGCTATACCACATATAATAATATATGAATGCCAAATTCTGCATACGAATGGGTGCTTTAATGTTTTTGTAATCATGATTACATAGATATTATTTGACATTTCTTTTAGTATAGTTGTATTCAACATATATTTTTTATTTTAAGGATGAAACACTAGTGCACTGTAGTCTAAATGAGCTAGAAGATGCAGCACTTACTTTTCCAGTCCTTTTCCAAGATGTCATATATCAGGTAATTAAAAAATTTTTAAACTTGATTTTTGGCCTCTTAGGTCACATTTTAAGCTAAAAAAAGAAAAAAACACAAAACCAAAAAAATGATTTTTAATGTGTTCAGTGTTTTTTCTGTAGATTTCCTGGTGGATTTTAATGGTTGGTTAACACAAAGTAGCATTCATGCTAGGTAGTTAAAGTATTAATTTGTTAACAAAAGAACACTAACTTTTCTTACCTAGTGATACAGGTTAGTTTCATAATCTGTTTGCCAGCAGGTGGAGGCAGGAGCACTGATACAGATCCTTAAGAGGAGCATGCCAGATTATAACACCTGTTGGTGTTGTCTCCCCTGCCCCATCCCCCAGTTGTAATTAATATAAAGAAAACACATTCTTTATTGGTCATTTTAATTTTTGATAGCAATATCATCTGTAAAGTTATAGTTTAATAGGCCTACTTTATATTAATCACAAAAGTCTAGGATTCTCTACTAGTTATTGCTTTACTTAGAGTTTGGTATTTCTCTCATGTGTGTGATGGGCAAGGAGCCATGCAGAATATATAGTTAAGATTTCATTGGATTATGCATGTTGACCATACTTTTAAAGATTTCTTTGTCTTTAAGATTTATTAAGTGAAAAGTACTTTTCCATGTTGGCTGTTCTGTTATTTAATTAGTATTATATTCCTATGGACCAGCTGTTGAAAGATTGGAGAAGGATCAAAAGAGTTGTTTATCACAAGGAAGCCAACCTAAGGATTAACTACATAGAACCACAAAGCATTTATCATGTTGGTAATGAAAGGTTTTTATGGTTGTTTATGTGCTCTTCATAGTTAGAATGTGGTTATAGTTTTCTTGGCAGATTTTAGTTGCTGTCTCACAGGAATTATAAAATTTCATAGTTAAACAGAAGTTTGTGTGTCAGGGCTACTTTACCAAATTTCTCTAGTAATAAGTCATAAGAATATTTTAGCAGTAATTATCAGTTCTAATTTAATATAGGTAGGGATTAAAGGCATGGCAATTTCTGAATGCTATATTCACCTCACTTTTATGTAAACCAATTTTATTTTAATCTTGATAATCAGGATAACAAAATATACATAAAAGATTTTAAGATGTTTCTGTTCCCTTTTAACTGATTATTATCTGGTTTAGGGCAGTTCTTTTTCATAAAACATGCTTTACCAAATAGCTTACTCTGGTTTATTGCCCATCAAAGATGGTAGTTTTTTGGCAAATGGAAGTAGTATAGTAATAATTTAGTTTTCACTGTTAAGCTCAATAACCTGGCTGGTATTTTGTTGTTGTTGTTTATAGTTTTGTTTTGTTGTTTTCAAGATTGTGTTTGAGGAGAACAGTTGCTTTAGGGCTTTGAGTTTGGAAAGGAAGCTACTTGAAAAACATAGGTAAATAATGATGTGGAGATGACTTTTTAAACTTCTAAATTTGAAAATAATTGGTTTGGGGTCTATTTATATAATTTTTAATAGTGAAAAAAGAAACCTGGAAAGTTAGGACCATAAAAATTGAATCTTTTTTCTTATTGCTCCCATAATTTCTGCTTTAATTCTTTATCTTTTTAAAAGTTCTTATTTTAATGTGGATCTGGATAGTTGTCTTATTTTGAAAAGGCTTACAGCAGTCCATATTAACTAATACTTTACTGCACTTACCTCTGGAATTCTAAGAATCCTTTATATTCTATATTTTGAAACTGAAGCTGAAAAAGAAATTACTTACATAGTAATAATCAGCAAGTTTGAATCTTAGAAGCTGTAGAGATGGTTCTGTTTTAATACTATGATGTATGTACTACATCAAAGACAGTTTAGTTCACTTTCAGTAAATTTTTTAGTGTGTCCATAGTTAAAATTGAGTATATTCCCTTGGATTTCTGGTTTTTGGCATAGCCAGATATTCTCTCTGCTTTTTAAAAAAATTACTGAAAAAATTTTTGGGTTAGGGTTTCCCTAGTTTTTTCAGACCAGCAAGCTCCCTTTAAACAGGGAATGATGTCTTTTAAACTTTCAGTGGTGTGTCTCCATCTACTGGCAAAGAAGAAATATACACAAGGGTCTGTGATGATCTAAGAGATATTGGAGAAACCACATTATTAGGTAAGATGTCACTTAAATATTTAACCACTATACTGTAATGTGGCCCACTTAAAGGTAGAAACCTGTAAAATACTGTATATACTCTTATTTTTAAAATTTGAGGTAAAATTTACATGACATGAAATTAACTATTTTTCAGTGAATACCTATTAAATATGTCAGTTCCATAGTATTATATTCTGTCTTTTGCCCTCTCCCTATGCCCCCTTTCTTTTTCTGTTAAAATAGGATCAGATTCTTTTATCTGAGTCAAGGCCAGATGAGACCTACTTTGTTGTTTTTGTAAGGTTGTTACATTTGACTCATATCTAATTTTAATTGTACATAGCATTTCTTTAATTTCAAAATACATATATCTTAATAATCTTCTGTATGGGCGAAGGATTTAGCTCAGCAGCATAAGCACCTGCCTGGCAAGTATGAGGTTGTGAGTTCGATCTACGGTACCACCAAAAAAACTTCTGTAAATAGAGTTGACAGACTTTTGGTGTAAAGGGCCGGCCGTAAATATTTTAGGTTTTGTGGTCTTTGTTGCAGTACATTTTCTGCCATAGTAGCATGAAAGTAGTCATAAATTTAAAAAAGCATGGCTGTGTTCCATTAAAACTTAATTTACAAAATAAGTGGAGGACTGGATTTAGCCAGTAGGCCATAGTTTGCTGATGCATGATCTAATAATTATGAGATTATATACAGTAAATTTACACACCTGTTGTAAATGGAAGCAAGTAATCAAATGCTCATCAATATTTTTGTTACCATATATAGAAAATTTAAATTAGATCCACAGAAATCTGTTTGTGAGCTTTCCTAGTTTTTATCCCCAGATCAGAGATTGAGAAAAGTTTGAAGTGGCCACTACTCGAATTTAAATATTGCCCAGCTAGCCAGGTGTGGTGGCACATGCCTGTAACATCAGCACTGGGGAGGCTGAGGCAGGAAGATGACTATAAGGCTAGCCTGGGCTCCAAAGTGAGTTCAAGGCCAACCAGAACTGCATAGTGAAACCCTGTCTCAAAAAGACACACCCCCCCCGCCAAAAAAAAACCCACCAAAAAACCTAAAAACAAATATAGGCCGGGGATATAGTTCAGCAGCTTAAGTGCCTTCCTGGCAAGCACAAGATCCTGAGTTCTATTCTCAGCACCAAAAACAAACAAAAAAACCAAATACATACTGCCTAACTTCATGATACAAGCTCTTTATTTGATTGATGAGTAGGAATAAACTTGATTAATGAAAGTGTTAGAATTTTTGAGCAGGTAGCTTATTGAAGTCTAAATTTTGCACACATTTGAATTCCATTTTATTAGGGATAAAAAATGTAAAATATCCATCTCAAAAGTTAATGTACTAACACTATATGGAGTAAACAGGTTACAGTTTCTTGTATGCAGATACAGTCATTCGAATGAAAAACTGACTTTAAAATAGGGTATGGCACTCACAAAGGCAAAACAGATTTTTCTTTGAATTGGTGTTTTAATTAGTTTTCCTGAAAATTATTTTTTAAGTAGTTATTTGGGGAAGCATTTATTCAGAAAATGGTAAAAATGGGAAAACAAGTGCATAATCACTTCCAGTGCACATGTTTAATCTGTATAATTAGTTTATATTGACACATTTTCAGGAAATCCATCTCATGGTGTTACTCAGTTAAGAGGTCTCCACTGTATTTAGTTTCTGTTCCTGCAGATCCACCAATTCAAGACTATAGGTCATCTCACTCCCTCTTCCATCCAGAAGATGACTTCTATCCACAAGCAGGACTGAATCAAAAGACATTTTTCACTTAGCTCTTGAGCTGAAACACCTCCTCAATGACCTTCCTCTGTCTCCATCAAGAACTGGAGCTCAATTTTTTGAAGATGTAATAGAGCTACTCAGCCCAAACGTGGCTGTTTGAAGACAAAAAGAAGATACCTCATATGTTTGACCACAGTGCAGCCAAACGTAACTGTGTTGTCCAACTCCTCAATTCTGTAAAGTATGGCAGGGGAATCTGATTTTTTTCACCAATAAGACTTTAGCCAGTCAGTGGCTTTCTGAAGATCAGTAAAATCAACAGACTTTGGGTCAGCTGTCCAGAAATCAGATTGTGGTAAGCACTCAAGGAGAGAGATAGGATCTTGTAGGGAGCTACTTATACAGGGTGCTTTGCTTTATTGGTAAAGGTTCCTTTTATGGGAAGAGTTGGGGAGGGGGAGGGGTGTGGGATGCTCCATGGTTAGCAGAGTTCATCTTCTTCCTATTATTATAGTTTGTTTCTTGGAAATATTATAGCTTAGGATAATTTTTATATCACAGAATGAGAATTAGAAGGTCAGTGGTTTCTATCTTTCTTACAAACTTTCCTAGAAAAGTTAACTTTTTGATCCATGAAGAAAATCATTTTAGTGAAAAATTTTATAGTAAAAAAGCTGGTTTCATTTTCTATTTCCACAAATTCTGACATACTACTAAGAAGACTTTTAATTATTGAAATTAATCAAACATAATTCCATTGTACATAGGTAGTATGTATAAGTATGTGGCTTAAATATAATATTTGGAGTCACAGACACTTAGTATTGAGGATAAGAATTTAATTAGTACGGAACAGTATTTTTTTAAAGAGCAGAATATATTTATTGAGAGAAAGCAAGCTTCTGAGAAAGAGACAGAAGGGATCCCGAGTGGGTTGCCCTGAAACAACATTTTGATAATTGGAAATAATATTTAAAATACTACAGAGCTCCAGCAATAGGTTAGCGCGCAGTACTTATATACAAAATATTACAGAGTAATTTTCCAATCCTTATTAGTGAGTATAGTTAATCATTATTAATTTTTAGATTTAAGAAACAAAAGAAGGGCTCACTTATAGTTCTTTCACAAAAAAATATATATATT